AATGTTAACATCCAACAAAATCACCATCTCTAAGTGGCTCAAAGTTATCCGATGATTTCTGGCACCATGATAGTCAAAATACCAGAAACAAATTAATACGGAATGAACTTTTTCCTTTAAACAAATTCTAAGTTGAGACTTTTTAGCAAATATGAACTTGGGCTTGGGTATAACACGGAATGAACTTTTTCCTTTAAATTAATACGTTGTTATACCAAAAAATTTATACGCCAAAAAAGAAGTAGATTTACATATCAATCAGCCTAGAGTACTCAAACATATGAATCAACCACACCAACTATCGGGGCCAAACAACCTAATACCTTAGCCTTGCTCCATCCTCGGTAGCATCATCATCATCAATCTCCCTTATTCACCAAAAATTAACATTCGCCCTCTGTCCTCCATCTTCATCAGAACTCCAACCATGATTTATTAAATTGGTCACACCCGGTCCTTTATCATGGATAAAGTGTAATGAAGTCAATAGCTCAGTAGTGGAAGGCGTGAAGGAAAGACAAGGGAAGGCGTGCCAATGGGAGGAAGATGTCAAGAGAAGTTGTGATCTGATTAGAGCCAACAGTTAGCAGTGTAAGGAAGAAGAAGGCGTGAAGTCAGGAAAAGAGAAGTCGCAAAAGAGTAAGTGAAGGCGCGTTCCATCGATCACGCCTTTACTGGAGTTCATGCTATTCTTGCTGAAACTGGAATCCATCGAGCTTGAAGATTCTACTTACACGTGTCAATCCCTCATTAGTTACTTTAAGGAGTTAGTTAGAATAGCTTCTATAAAAGATACGATCATGTAATTGGTTAGCTATCAATTGGTTAAAATTTGTTATTGCATCCAGAGAGGGAATAACCCCTCTGTTGTCCTTCTCTCAATTTCCTGCATTCTTTTTCCCCTTCTTCCTCTTCCCGCCAATTCTTATTCTGTATTTAGTTTGAAGTTCATCAATAAAAGGAGAGGTGTTATTTCTTTGAATCCAATCAAATCTGAGAGTTCATAATTTGTTCTGTTTATTCAATTTCCATTCCTGCAACATTTCTGGTTGTGTACCACAACAGTGGTATCAGAGCTAGTTTTATGAGCCATAGGGATGACAAAAAATCAGGACGAAGCTTTGAGAAGAGAGGTAATGGAACTTGGTAGTGTGGTCAGAACCTTCACCAACAAAAATGAAGGAATGGAGCAGACAATCAGATCAATGGAATTCAGGCAGGATGCTACTGAAAAATTACTGAAAAGGTTGGATCAGAAGTATGAAGGTATGATGAATATGATGGCTCAACTAATGAGTAAAATGAACGACAGAGAGAAGGAATTAGAAGGAAGTAGCAGTTCTAAGGGGGTGGCCCAACCTGAGGGATCTAAGTTGGAGTCACCAAAGGAAGTAGCTGGAAGGAGAGAGTTCAAGACCATCAACAAACTGCCTAAAATGGATCTACCCATCTTCAATGGGGACAATCCGAGGGAATAGATCAGAAAAGTTAACAAGTATTTCAAAATACATGTAATAGAAGATGAAATGAAGGTTGAGGTAGTAGAGCTTTACTTCAGGGATAGAGCAGACATCTGGTTCCATGGAGTCTTTCATGGAAAGGAAGCTATACCGTGGGAAAAGCTAACCACTGCTCTGTGCATCAGATTTGGGGAAGGAAAACCTGAGGAAGCAATTGAGGAGTTCAACAAGCTGGTACAGACTGGATCAGTAGCTGACTACCTGGAAAAATTTGAAATGCTTAAAGCACTGGTAATGCCAACCTTACCACATTTATCTGATTACTATTATAAAGCATGCTTCATGAGTGGATTGAAAGAGGAAATTGTCAATATGGTGAAAATGTCAAAACTAGAAACCTTAGTTGATGCCATTAAAGTAGCAAAGTTACAAGAAAAGAACTTAAAAGCTATACAGAAGTTACACAAAGCTGTTCCTACTAGTTTTAGCAGTCAGAAAAGCCATATTAAAATGCCCTCTCATACCAGATGGAACCAAGACAATGTCAAACACACCCTTAGACCCCCCAATCAAAATGCAACAAACAAAAATCAATTCAAGAAGATATCCCCTGTAGAATTTAACCTGAGGAGAGAGAAAGGATTGTGCTATAAATGTGTTGAGCCATATACTTTAGGACATGTATGCAAACAGTCCCATATTTATTACTTGTTGGCCGAAGGAGCTGAGACTACAGAAGGGAGCAAGGAGCAGGAAGATGAGGTCTATTGTGACTATATTAATGGAGAAGTGGTAGATGAGCATATTGAGGTGTCTGTACATGCCTTGGCTGGAGGAGCAGAGCACAAGACCATTAAGCTGAAGGGTCTGGTTGATGGGAGATAGGTTACTACATTAATAGACAGTGGCAGTACACACTGTTTCCTGGATGAACAACTGGCAAAGAAGTTGAAGCTGAGCACAGAGGGACCTAATCTGATGGTCAATGTGGCTAATGGTGAAAAGGTGGAATCCAAAGGACTGGTTAAACCTCTGCAGTGGGAAATGCAAGGTCATCAGTTCCATCATGCCTTTAACACCTTGAGATTGGGAGGCTGTGACATAATCCTTGGAGTAGATTGGTTGGCCAAACACAACCCCATAGAATTCAATTTCAAGGAGCTGAACATGATAATCCATAAGGGAGAGCAGGAGGTAGTACTGAAGGGAGAGGATACCAGCACCAGATTAAAGATGATCAAAGGAGGCAGGCTGGATAGGTGGTTGAGGAAACAGGCATATGGGGTGGTAGCACAACTGGTGGCAATAAAAGAGGAAGATGGAACAGAACAGATCCCTGCTGAAGTCAGTCAGGTGCTAGATCAATACAAGGATGTATTTGAAGAACCCAAAGGAATGCCTCCAACCAGGAGCCATGATCACCAGATTGTTCTAAAAGAGGGAGCCAAACCTTTCCAGATGAGGCCATACAGGTGCCCCTACGTACAGAAGGCAGAGATTGAGAAACTGGAAAAGAAAATGCTGGAAATAGGCATCATACAGCCTAGCAGTAATTCTTTTGCCTCCCTAGTGTTGCTAGTTAAGAAGAATGATGGAACATGGAGGTTCTGTGTGGATTACAGACAGCTGAATGAGTTAACAGTAAAGAACAAATTCTCCATGCCTCTGATTGAGGAGTTGATAGATGAGCTACATGGAGCCAGGTACTACACAAAAATTGATCTAAGGGCAGGATACTTTCAGATCAGAGTCAAGGAGGAGGATATTCCAAAAATAGCTTTCAAAACTCACCAGGGACTCTATGAATTCAAAGTCATGCCATTTGGCTTGACCAACGCACCAGCAACCTTCCAGAGCCTGATGAACCAAGTTTTTCAAGATCAGATGAGGAAACATGTGCTAGTATTCTTTGATGATATTCTAGTGTACAGTTCAACACTAGAATTGCATGTGAAGCATGTAACTGAGGTAATGAACTTACTGAGACAACACCAGTTGTATGCCAAGATGAGCAAATGCTCTTTTGTTCAGTTACAGGTGGAGTACTTGGGACACATAATATCAGCAGAAGAAGTCCAAACTGATCCTAAGAAGATAGAATGCATGGAGAATTGGCCCAAACCAACTAATATCAAGCAGCTAAGAGGATTTCTGGGACTGACAGGCTACTGTAGAAGATTTGTCAAGGGATATGGAGCCATAGCAAGGCCTTTGACAAATCTGCTGAAGAAGGACAATTTCCATTGGAATGAGGACTCAGAAAAGATTTTTCAGGAGCTCAAAAGAGCCATGTGCCATACCCCTATGCTAGCAGTGCCTGACTTCACACAACCATTCATCATTGAGACTGATGCATGCTATACTGGCATAGGTGCTATCCTGATGCAGAACAAAAGGCCCATTTCCTACCTTAGTCAAGTTTTGGGACAGAAGAACATGGGGCTGTCAATCTATGAGAAAGAGCTGCTAGCACTGGTGACTGCTGTAACCAAATGGAGACACTACTTGGAAAGGCATCACTTTATCATACACACTGATCATCAGAGCCTAAAGTACTTGCTGGAACAAAGGATCACTACTCCTCTCCAACAAAAGTGGCTCACTAAATTGCTGGGACTGAGCTATGAAATTCACTACAAGAAGGGAAAAGACAATGTGGCTGCAGATGCACTTTCTAGACAAGGCAGAGAGGGGACAGGGGAGTGCACCACTATATCCTGTGCAGTACCTGCTTGGATTAGGGAAGTAATAGAGAGTTATAAGGGGGATAAATGGACTCAGAAGACCATATCACTGGTACTACTGTCTCCTACATAGGGCCCAGACTACACTTACCAGGATGGTATTCTCAGGTACAAAAAAAGATTGGTAGTAGGAGGACAAGGGAACACCAGGAAGAAGCTTATCACTGCACTACATGACTCTCAATTAGGAGGTCACTCAAGTATTCAAGCCAGCTACATGAGAGCCAAACAGCTATTCTATTGGCCAGGAATGTACAAAGAAATCAAGAAGGTGGTCCTGGAATGTGACACCTGTAGGAAATGTAAAGATAAACATGTGGCTTATCCAGGACTGCTACAACCATTACCTATCCCTCAACACTCATGGAGCCACGTTACCATGGATTTCATTAAAGGACTGCCTCAATTAGAAGGGAAGAATACCATAATGGTGATTGTGGATAGATTCATCAAATATGCCCACTTCATCAGTCTAACACATCCTTTTGATGCACCAAAGGTAGCCAGACTTTTCATTGATAATGTCAGTAAATTACATGGGATTCCTTAGAGCATGCTATCTGATAGGGATAGGATATTTGTCAGTCAATTCTGAGGTGAATTGTTCAGTATATTGGAAGCTAAGCTGAACTACAGTACAACTTATCACCCTCAGACTGATGGTCAGACTGAGAGGGTCAATCAAGTGCTAGAGATGTATCTCAGGTGTCTAACTCATATAGAACCTAAGGGATGGAACCAGTAGTTGTCCTTGGCAGAGTGGTGGTATAACACCTCGCACCACACAGCCATTCAAATGACTCCATTTGAGGCATTATATGGCCTCCCTCCTTCTCAACAAGCTTTAGGACCATACCTTCAGACTAGAGTGGCTGTAGTGGGAGATTACATCAAGGAAAGGCAGCAGATGGATAACATGTTGAAACAGAACTTGAAACAGGTACACGAAAGGATGAAGAAATATGCTGATGAGAAGAGGAGTAAGAGGGAATTCAGTGAAAGAGATTGGGTGTATCTAAGGTTACAACCATATAGACAGAGCTCAATAGCCTTGCGAGGAAACACCAAACTCTCAGCAAAGTATTTTGGCCCATACCAGATAACAGAAAGGATAGGAGAGGTAGCATACAGACTGAATCTACTCACTTCTTCAAAGGTCCACCCTGTCTTCCATGTGTCATTGCTCAAGAAAAAGATTGGTGACAAGGCCACACCTACACTCCAACTACCAGAAACAAATAAGAATGGGCATTGGAGGATAGAACTAGCAGCAGTGATTGGTAGGAGGATGGTAAAGAAAAGAAATGCTGCTACAACTCAGTGGTTAATCCACTGGTGGGGCACAGATCCTGTAGAAGCTACATGGGAGGATGCAGAGGAGATTAGGAAACAATTCCCCACCTTCCAATCTTGAGGACAAGATTTACTGATTAAGGGGGGGATATTGTAATGAAGTCAACAGCTCAGTAGTGGAAGGCATGAAGGAAAGACAAGGGAAAGCGTGGCAATGGGAGGAAGATGTCCAGAGAAGTCGTGATTTGATTAGAGCCAACAGTTAGCAGTGTAAGGAAGAAGAAGGCGTGAATTCAGGAAAAGAGAAGTCGCAGAAGAGTAAGTGAAGGTGCGTTCCATCAATCACGCCTTTACTGGAGTTCATGCTATCCTTGCTGAAACTGGAATCCATCGAGCTTGAAGACTCTACTTACACGTGTCAATCCCTCATTAGTTACTTTAAAGAGTTAGTTAGAATAGCTTCTATAAAAGATACGATCATGTAATTGGTTAGCTATCAATTGGTTAAGATTTGTTATTGCATCCAGAGAGGGAATAACCCCTCTGTTGTCTTTCTCTCAATTTCCTGCATTCTTTTTCCCCTTCTTCCTCTTCCCACCAATTCTTATTCTGTATTTAGTTTGAAGTTCATCAATAAAAGGAGAGGTGTTATTTCTTTGAATCCAATCAAATCTGAGTGTTCATAATTTGTTCTGTTTATTCAACTTCCATTCTTGCAACATTTCTAGTTCTGTACCACAACATAAAGTTGACGGATATCCTGAATCTTTGCTTTTCCCAAATTTGGTTTCTTCTTCCCAAATTAATTTGGTTGAAACTGAAGTAAATACCAGTTGCCACTTCTTTTTATTTCCAATATGATCTTCTCCATGAAATTCGTTTAGAATATTGTGAATGGTGATATCTGAAGGTATGGAAGAGATGGAGAGATTGAACTCGAAGGTAGGGGAGGAGGAGTCTGATTGGTCACCAATAGTAGGGGAGAATTTTTTTTTTTTCTTTTCGTTTGGAACTCATGTGCTTTCCCTAAATTTCCTGTCCCTTCCGTTCCCAATTTGTGCTTTTTTTTAGGCATCAATAAGAGAGAACATGGAAAAAGAGTTCCATGGCCGTGGATTCTTACGTGTCTAATGTGGTTCTCAATCTTCTTCTGGGGAGACCATAACCACCTTAACTTTGTACGAGTTCATCAAAATGATGGCTCGTTACCGTATCTTTTGGTTCTCCATTTGAGATCGAACAAAGTGCCCTTTTTTTAAGTTAATTACAATTACCCTTGTGGTTCGACAAAATTACAATTGCCTACTTGTAAGTGACGGTTCACTAATTAATTTAAATGTTTTAGGGTCATGTGATTAGAAATTCTTTTGTCCTCAAATCCAATTCTTCTTTATCTTTTATATTGCAAGGGAAAGATTAAGATAGTAATTCTACATTGAATTTTAAATTAGACTATCTAGGCAAAATGATTTTGAAAAATTTTTGAGCATTCAGTGAAATGAAATATAGGAAATTGTGTTATTTTTTACTTGTTCAGACTAAAGCATTCAGGTTGATGTGCCTCTGATGCATACGTAAAAAGTTTTAATTCAACTAAACTTTCATCCTTCTACCTCATCATTGGGCTCATCATTGTGCTGCTTTTCCACAAGCTCCAGTAGCATAATATAAGTCCATACAATGGCATTTTTTTATAATCATAAATATAAGTTTTTTTAATTTTTATAGGACTTATGTTTTTCAACTAAAATTTAGTAACATTGGAAATCATAGATTAAAAAAATATATACATAGAAAAATAAAAAAAATTAACGAAAAAAATGCAGGAAAATATAAATTCACAATAAGACTAAAAAATTTAATAATCAAATATATTAAAGTTATATAAAAATTTTTAAAAATTAAAGAAAAAAATATAGAAAATAAATTTGAGTATCAGATGGGATCAATTTAAATCCATCCAAAAGTGATTCCAAAACACGTATGAGTGTAGTTGGGTCTAAACTTCTCTTACTCAAATTCAAGTAGATCTCACCCATGCCGGTCATTTTGTCACCACTGCTGTCATGCCAAGACACGGAAGATGCACTCAAGAAATTAAATGTCAACGTGCATAAAGAAATTATGAAAAAATGACAGTAAAATAAATATTCACGCACATAGAGCAACAAAATTTTAAAAAAAAGACCCAAAAAAAATAAAATTGTCAAAAGGTTAGAAAAAATGCATAAAAGGTTGCTACTGTTCATTTTCCTCTCCCAACGACTTTACTTTCTTAATCATTGTTAATCTCCGATGGGTTTGAAATCATATGCAAAATCATCAACAAAATTGCTAAACGAATCATCTAAAGATATTATCGTTTGGAAAAAAAAAAAATCATCTAAAGATAGCGAATAAGCACATGGGTGCATCAACTTCCAAAATCATATCCAGATTCAGCAGAAATTATTCCAAATCACATCCAAACTTTCCACCATAAAGTGGCTGCCAAAATTACATCTCCTTCACCATTACCATGTCCACCAACACTGCCACCTTCTCCCAAAATATCCTTCATCATTCCCAATTCGTGTAAAGGCATAAAACATACAAACAATGTCTTAGAACCCAAAAAAAAAAAAAAAAATTGGGGTTAAAAAAATGGGATACTGCTATGCTGAATAAAATAGAAAAAGAAAGAGGCTAAATATATCAAAAGCCCAAACATCTCTTGCAAAGTGCTCCACCGTGGGCACTGTTTTCGGCACCGCACCTCACCACTTCTTTTCGACTTTCCTTTACCAGATCCGTTAGTACCAGACTAACTATTTGAGATAGAAAAAGAAAAATCAACGACAATAACTAGGAGTAACGCACAAGAATTAATATGATTCGACTTAACCATCAAGTCTATATCTACAAAGAGAAAAACTGCTCTTAATATGAGAGAAAAAATTACTACAAGATTGTAACTTGATTGTCAAATCCAACTCTTGTATAATCCTCTCATCTAAAAAGAAGTCTTTCATTCTTTTTTTATGTGTCTTTGTAGTATGTCAATTTACCTATTTATAGAAAACATTATTTGACAAAAAAATTAAATAATAATAAAAAATAAATACTAATTCCTAGACTTATATATAATAAGTAATAACAAATAAATTCTAAATTCTAAATAAAATAGAAAATTTCTTGACTATTACTTCAATTAAGTAAAACTAATTAGGTAACTAGTTATTATCCACACAAAATAAGAATCTAGACTAAAAGAAATTAATCTAATTTTCTAACATCTAGAATTATTTGTTGATTGGTTTTTGCGGTTGAAACCATTTTAGAGCAGTTTGAGGTGGGACCACTACTCTTTAATCTCAACAACTTCTATGGAGTTGTGCAATTTTTTGCTGGAGAACATGGAAATATTTGGAGTAATAATATAGTTGCTTTGTTTTGTTGGATATTAGTGAGTACAGATACCGGTTTTGGTGTTCAGGTGAGGGAAAAGACGGTGGTAGGAAATTGATGGGGCATTTTAGGGCATTCATTATAATTTTGGAGGATAATTTTATGAAAAAAAAATTATAACACTTTTTTAATATGATATTTATATGATTAAAAGGTGAGTGAAAATTATGTTGATAATACAAGCAAACAAATTTTTACTAATAATTTACTAACCAAACAAACCCTTTGTTATAATAGTTTGAGTTTGAGGGGTTCTTTAATAGTTTGGACAAGCCTAAGGGTTTGACTCTTAATTTGGTTAAACTTCAGGGGAAGTAAATATATTGTTTTAACAGCATATATTGCTTTTTCTCTAGTAATATAACTTACAAAATGAACTTAAGAAAATTCATTGTTTGATCAAGAGATTTCTTTTTTTCTTTTGCTTGATCAAAAGATGCTAAAGATAAATTCTTCGATTAAAATCCAACTTAAAATAAACCTCTGTTTTACTCCAAGAATATCTTTTTTGGAATTCACGTGTTCTTCATTTCCAATTCTGTATGGGCAATTTAGAACTTTAATTGAGTTCCGTTGTGGTAAAATAATAGAAGTTAATGCTAAGGAGGTGTTTGTTATTTGGCTAAATCACAGGATTAGTTTGGTAATATAGCTAAACCTCAAGGGCGGTAAATGTAATTAATTCTATAAGAAAATGCGAGGGATGCATAAAATTACCAAAATGCCTCAAAATACTTTGGCAGCCAAAAAGCTAATTGCAACTCAGTCCATAAGGTATATCTAATATGCAAAAAGGTCCCTCGCTCTAGTAGGTGGTAGAACCACTGACGCCGCCACTCGCCACTAACCACAACCGGCAGCCATCTTCGGCTAGGATTTTAATTGATAAAATATGTCACTGAACTTATTTTTTATTTTATTTTTGCAAGGGTTACAACTTTATCAATAAAATAACTTGAAGCAGTATTTGGCCGCCTCCAGTCCCTTTTTTCCTCCTCTTTTTTTATTTTCTGTATTATTCCTTTTCTGTTTTCTCTTTTTCTTGCTTTTTTTTAATTTTCTTCGTTTGTGGGGTTTAAGAGTTGGATGATAAATTCTGATGATGATTTTGCCAAATAATAATGGTGCGATGCATGAGAGGTGGTGTTAAGATGATGAGGGCTATGATTGTGCAGAGAAAAATGGGCTAATTCCTTAAATTATTGTCCAAAAATAAAAAAATAAAAAAAAATATTATTCTGACACGGATATGGTATGAAATTATGGAAAATAAAAAATTTTATTCTTTTTAAAATGCTGGGCTGCCGGGCAGCAAAGAACAATTTTTTGAAAAAAATGCTGGCCCGGCAGCCAAGCTGGAATTTTTTTTTTTAAAAATATGATGGCCTTTATTTTTAGAATAAATTACCAATTACCAATTGTAAGACTGTTGTGATAGATATGCATTGTGGGCAAGGTGTTGGTAAAAGCTGGTCATTGTGGGGACGGAGGGTTTTTTGGGTGGTGTAGTTCGGTAAAAGCTAGTAATTACTGGGATTGGAAGGTTTTCCGGGTGGGGTTGTTCGGTCTCAAGGTGAGGCGTGAGGATTTGGACCATCAGCTGTATCTGATGGTTGTAAAGTTGGTTGGCTGCCGGTGGCTGAATGGTAGGCGATCGGAAGAGGATTGAGTTTTCAACTCTGGGAGCTTGGAAGTTGACCGGGGACTCTTTAACGGTAAAAAGTTAGATCAAGGGCAATTTTGTCACCGGAAAAAAAATCCTCAATTGGAGTGTGAGAAGCATATTTTTTGTGGAGTGGGATGCTACTCCATCGGAGAAGGGGCTAGGACAATTGGACAGTTGTTATATATTCCTTCCGCCGAATTGAAATTGATATACTTTTTACATTGGAATATTTCAAAATATTTATCATATTAAAAAAATTAAAATATTTTTTAGTTTCTCTTTTCAATATAACTTTTCTTTCTAATCATATGCGTATTATCATTTAATTTTGAATTTATGAGGATAAAATTAAAAAGAAAAATATAAATATCACAATCAAACCACTGTTCTTAAAAAATTGAATTTCTTGGACATAACTAAATAATTAAAACAGAGGGAGTATTTTACATGATTTAGTGTATACTTACAATTTTACATTTCTTTGTTCTATAAATAACTTTTATTTTTATACACTAATTCAATAATTTAATACAACAATGATTATAAATGTACAATACCTTCTAAAGAAAAGTACAACAACAACACTAATTGTACGAAAATTTCAATTGTACTGGCCCTTCTTATCCACCATAATATAAGAGGCATAATGTACGGGAGTGGGGCACCGTGTTCCGCCACTAGCTTAAGCAACGAAGTTTACTATTATTTCATGTACATTATTCGATCAAAGCTGTACATATAGAATCAAAGAAGAAATCACAAGATCAAGGAAAAAGTTAATAAAGGTAATTCCTAAATTTGGATCAATTTCAAATCTAATCTCTCTTCTTAAGCTACAACTGGACCTAGAAAGTACTTTGAGCTTGTTTAAATAAACAATGAACTAAGCAACACAAGAAGCTCTACTGGGGCTATCTATGATGAAGTGATGCCATTTGCTCTCAGTGGCAAACCGTCGCATAGAGGCTGAATGCTAGGTTTTACAGCTGGAAAACTATTGCAGAGAGGGACACTAGATTGCACAGTTTTCATACGAATAAGCTCTGCCTCGTTATCTAACACTTTCTCAACGTTAAGGCCTCTGGCTACTTCATCAACCAAAATAAAAAGCAGAATTTCCTGAGAAGTAATACCTTCCATCTGTAGATTCTTTGTTCCCTCTGACTTCTTGATCATCTCCATCAAATTCTTCCAACAAAACCAACCAAAAAGTACTATAAAGGGGACAGAACACAGCCCCACAATGAGGCCAATAGTAAACCTACTAATGTGGCCATGTCTATGTTCAGACTCAGAAGCGTTTGGGAAGTTTATTCCAGGAGGTGAAGGAGGAGGTGGACTATACTCCGCAACTGTAAATTCCCATTGATCAATATGGGTCAATTGCGTGCTTCCCTCCGTTGAGGCAGAAAACCCCACATACATATTCTGGTCCAAATAGTTAGACAGGTCAATGTCAACCTTCAAGAGGGGCTTTCTAGGCTTCAAAATTGAGTAACTTAAGAATACTTCCAACCTCTTTTCGTTACTATTGTAATCGATCCAAGTATTTATAAGATCACCACTTTTCAAATCCACACCCGCAGAAGAGGCTGTGGCTAGTTTCATCGAGAAGAGGGTTGTTGATGTCCAATCCCACGTGATTATCATCAGGATCATGAAACACAGAATCACGTTTGGTGTCAAACTCAATGGCCATAAACTTGTTCCTCGTTAGGTCTGTTGAATCAACCAACCCCAAGTATCCAGGACTGCCAAGTAGATCACGAGATGGCGAAATTAAAAATGCTAGGCCATCTCCAAAGCCCTCCCCACCTCCAAATGTGTTCTCGATGGAGAAAGAAAAAGTGGTATAGAATGAAGGGACCTTTCTCGAACGAGGGTCTAGGATTAACATAGGATGGTTGTAAAGTACCACCCCAGAGCTTCTTCGAGCGTTAATCGGGTTAACCTCTTTTGTCAACGCAATCATACTATGCTGGATGTGAGAATCGCCCAAAAACGTCAGATAACTGTAAGGAAAGGAATGGTTCACGAATAACTTAGTCTCAGAAGATGATGATAGCAAGGCACGCATGCTTTTGGGGCCAAAGAAAAGTATGGGAAGGAAGAAGAAAAGAAAAAGGTTTATGGATGAATGCATTGTCTTCTGGATACCTAGCAATTTTGGCAAGGACTACTGAAAAATATTGCGGACGGAGAAGGGATTCTTTCACAAGTTTCTTGTTGAAAATTCCTATGTTTCGGGGTGATGATCAAGAAATAGAGGACGAAATTTTAGTTCTGGTGCCGGTGCCCGATGATGGCAGTGATGCGAGAAGGTGTGGTTGGGCAAATGGCTGGAGAAAAAGAACGGTGCGTGGGAGTCGGTTCTTTACAAAAATGAAGAGAATATATTTTGTTAGTAAAAAAAAAAGAAAAAACTGGAGTATTAGAGCCCAGAGGCAAATTAACGACACGAGACACGTAGTTTTTCTTGTATACTAAATTGGTCCCCCAATGCTTTAATCAACACCATATATTATACTGATCTCCAATATTTTGACCGAAAAAAAAGTATGGTGCACATAGATTCTAATTTTAAGCGAAGACAATTAATGAGGTACCACAACAGGTAACAGTCAAAAGTTGACATGGGCCCCAAATGAATGGAGTTTCAATTAGGGGTGTAATTGGATTTTATGAGTCGGATTTTGATAAGTAATCTCGATCCCAAAAAATAAATAGAGCTTTTGAACTTTAGGTTCGAGCTTAAGTTCGAAGGTTCAAGTCCAGCTCATCTTTTAGGGTTAGTTTTACTTTGCACCCTTTAATTTTGTTCTAATTCTCACTTTTATCCCTAAATTTTAAAACGAGACATTTTAACCTCTGAACTATAAAATCCATTCCAGTTAAGTACAACCTTCACAGAAAATAGAAAACAAGAATAATTGGCACTAGCTATCGAGGCACACTCAATGCGTTAAAATTTGGGAGAAAATGTTGATTGACTAGAGAAGAATGGAGACTTTTAAAAGATGATTTGGGAAGTAAAAAAAATCATTGATTATGGAGAATGTGAGAATTGGAGGAAAATAGTTTTGGTTGAATAGAATTTGTGTATCAGTTAATAATAGAGATAAGAGAAAATTTAAAAACACATGAAGTTAACTACCTGCAGAGGTTTTATTATTGTAAAGATATTCCGTTAACTTGTTATTGTAACTTAGAAAAATAAAATTTATTAGAACACAAATGTAAATTTAGAGACAAAAAAAATACCCTTAGAAGTTAAAAGTTTTGAAATTAAGCAATATTTTATATTTCCTTTTCCCCTTTCATTTTCTTCTTTTTCTTTCCCTTTCTGCCTCCAAATCCAGATCTGCCAACATTACCAATAGCTTCAGTCAATAGATCTAACACTAGAGTGAACATGCACGTTTCTCCAACACTGACCCAATATGTAAATCAGGAATCTAATTCTGATCCAAAAGTTTAAATCATTAGGTTTCAAGTTCTTACTTATATATTAACCGCTCTTTCTTTATCTCTCAAACCTATGTAGAACATAACTCTTTACTTATGAATCTAACAAATCTCCTCCTTCATAAGTAATCTCTTACATTAAATTCAAATTTACAAACCCTTTTTCGAATCTTCTTTAATATTCAACGCAAGCGTATCTTATCATCTAAGATCACCTCTTCTTCCAATCATAGACCCATTCTTTTTTAATATCCAAATTACATTCTGAACCCTTGCCAATCTTAGACTCTTTGGTCAAACACCAACCGGATCCCCTGGCAAACCCATGGTGCACCTGATCCAATACCAACCAAATTCCTTGGCACTTCGGTCCATCACCAAGAAGAAAATTTTCACTGGTTCAACTCTGAGAAAGATCTACTTGCTCATGAGTAGTTCAGTCTCGCAATCTGAAGATCTGATACCAATTTGATAGGAAGAAACATCTTGATAAAATCTACCAAAAAGACCAATATATAAATCAAGAACCCAATTCTGATCCAAAAGTTTAAACTATTAAGTTTCAGACTCTTACTTACATATTAACCACTTTTTCTCTATCACTCGAACCAATATGAGATATAATCCTATACTCAAGAATCTAACAAATTGAAAACACAATACACTCGTTCTCCCTGCCTTTAAACCCACCAGCACCGTTCTTCCTATTGCGACCCTTCCATGTGAATAATGTATGCGGATTACAGAATAAGAGCATTTTGGTTTATTTGGTGTTCAATTTCGGACATTCATAAGGAAAGAAATAGGTAGTGAAATTGAGATTTGATTTAGGAATACAATAATCGTATAGTTCTAATGTGGCGAATTTCAAGCAAGTGATATTTGTACTCTAAGAATTGTTCTTGACACTTCACTCTAATATTCTATGCGTAAAATTTTATATACATTATTAATATATACACTATTACAATTGGATGGATGACACATAAATAAATTCAAAATTTGCACATGTGTTATATATCTAATAGAGTGAGTACCAAAAATTTGTACTGGAGCGCAACGATCAATGATAAACTATCAACTGCTTTTCTTCAGTCGTAAAAGTCTTCAAAAATAAAGCAACGTTACAATGATGTACAAACATGTAAAACATCTCCTCTGTCATGACATCGATCCATTGACCCTTCAAAATATTTAATTTACTCATTTGCCTCCGTTTTCTTTTACTTATATATGATATGAAGTATTATCTCCAGCAATATTAATTTTCTTTTGTTGCCTCAATTCATTCATTTGTCTCGCTTCGTTTTTGTTGTTGCTTTTGTTGCATGACTTTTCTCATCACTGGAAGGCTTTCGCCATAAGATTTTTTGGCTGGCATTTGGTTCCAGGGGACTGTGTGATCAGCATTCTTCCGTCTTGCTCTTGGCCCATATAAGTGGCCAACTGGGTATAGCACTTATAAATTGATGACAGCTCCAAAAAAAAACCCTACAAAAAGCAAAATTAAGGAAAGTTTCATTTCTGGGCTCTAGCAACTGGTTAATCGAGGAGCACATTCGTAGAGCTCAAGGCACCTACCATTAGGATGAAGGCGAGTTTCGATGAGCTCAAAACTCTCCCAGAATGCCAAAACTTGTTTCTGACGAACCTCTCGTTCATGATGTTTATTGATTACAATGTGCCCCATTCCCTCCTGAAACCCCCAAACCATGTATTCACAAATACACAAGGTTTAAGAAACAACTGCTCAACTTTTATGTGTGCGTGTGGTACTATATAAAAGCCCAACTTTAATTCCAATCCAAAGCCCAATTCAAGTAGTGCTGAAAATTTCACCATGTCAATTGTCAACTACATCTTTTTTTTTTTTTTTTTTTGGTTACAATATATTCCAGCACTAGAAGGAAGGGAGAGGGGGAAGGGGGAGGCTCTGAAGAAGTCCAAGGATGATTCGGAGGGGACTGAACCACCATCGGACCAGAGAAATACACTACACACTCGCCTAGATTTTTTAAACAAAACCACTTTTCAATGTGACTAATTGGTGAGAGGCAATGTCCACCCCATCAAACTTTAATGCATTGGTGGTGGTCACCAGCCCAAAGGCAGGTGGTTTCAACTACATCCATTAGTAACAAAAATAAGCACAATCTCAATTTAGTTATCCAATCCTATCACAGAAAGCTGTTGTCTAATTATTTTATTCTCTTTTTTTCCCTATAAAGACAACCAAAAGAAAATTTCTATATCCAATCTCGTAACTCATGATTTTCATCTCGTAAATTTCTACCTACATTTGTAGATCTAGTGGTTCAAATTTTACTATATTTTCAATACTTGACTTGGTGATGTGATGTGCCAAATTTTGAACTACTAGGTCTACATTAACTGGATTTACCGAAGTATTTGCCTTATATATATATATATATATTCTGCCATTGCAATCGATTTCAAGAGTAGAGTGAGAAAATAGCGTAAGCCTCCAAAATTGTGAGAAATGTAAGTTTATTGTTCTTGAATTTTGAATCATGAGTACTTGTTTGTGAGTTTATTTTTTTTTCTCTTTCCACATATTTATATGTGTTTAAAAACATCCGCTTTTTTTTTTTATTTTTGCCCCAAGAAGACCTATTGATTTATTGATTGAAGGCCATAATTCCATGCATGCTTTTCCCCCTTCTAATGATTGTTTTCTGCTCCATGGTGGTTTAACCAATTTTGGAATTTGAAGGACTTCTAATTAAATTATTTGATCGAATAAGTTATACTTATCTCCCAATGATATTTAATTATTCAACTACCTGATTAATAGGTTTAGATTAGGTAATGAAATCGGGTTGATTGATGGAAATTATTTGTCTCTTTTCAATAACCCAGAATCCGGGTTAAGGACAGGAACATAAATATATTTCGCTGAAGAGGGCCGGAACCGTTTAATTCTTCGGCCCTAAATTCCCTCAACCACGTCAAAGTTTTCCTAACCCCAAAATGCTACTTAACTACCTTGGACTTGAGTTTTCCACCAAAGCCTTGTAACCGTCCAGCCCCCTGGCGTCCACAACTCTTGCCGCTTTTCCATCACTCCTGTACTAGCCTACTAGGCAGTAGCTTTTTTTTTTTTTTTTTTTGTGTTCTTCTTAGCCGGTTCTACATCTTGAATTATGCGCTCTGCTCTGTCGTTCCTCTAAATCACGATGGATTTACCTGAACACTTGTTGATAGAAATTCTACTGTGTTTGCCAGTGAAATCATTGATCCTACTGAAGTGCGTCTGCAAATCTTGGTATGCTTTGATCGAAAACCCCAAGTTCATAGCTATTCATCTTAGCCGTGCCAAAAAATTACAAACGTCTCCTACTCAAGAACGTGCCTCGTGACATAGATGAAACGCCCCCTACTTTCCTGTCCATCCATTCTAGTCTGGAATCTGTCCGCAATTTCCCCCCGCCTGATCTACGACACTTGCCATTTTTAGATCATGGCTATTTTGCCGACTTCGTATGCCATTGCAACGGTCTGCTTTACGTCAACGATGTGAATGACAAGTACTTATTTAACCCAGCAACAAGGCAAGTGAGGCTTCTTCCTCCTCCGCCCGGCAACTCGTGC